TCGCACACCTTTTTTCATTTTAAACCATTCAGTGTTCCCATGCTCTGTTCGAACAACTGCTTCTTAGTCCAGGTACAGATTCCTCATGAGAACAATTAAGTGTTCAGGAATACTCATACTTCACAAAATGGCCTGCCCATTCTTTGGGCTCCCTTTTGACTCTCTTGGTGAAATCCTTTGATGCACTTACTTTTCTAATTTTTAGAATGTCCCAGTCATCTATTTTGTCTTCTTTTGTTTGTGTAATTTTTGCAATGTTTGGTAGTCTGCGTGTGCCCTTAAATCTGTCCCTATTTTTTCACTGATAACCTTTATAAATCTGGGATTTACATTCAGGTCTTTAATCCATGCTGAGTTGGTTTTTGTATATGGTGTGAAATAAAGGTCTAGTTTCAGTCTTTTGCGTGTCCATTTCCTTTATTATTCTGGGATTCATATGTAGGTCTTTAATCCATGCTGAGTTGGTTTTTGTATATGGTGTGAGGTAAAGGTCTAGTTTCAGTCTTTTGCGTGTCCATTTCCAGCTCTTCCAGCACCATCTGTTGAAGAGACTATGACTTCCTACTCAATGTACTTTGGCCCTTTAGTCAAAGATCAGTTGGCTGCTATGTTGTTAGGCTTAATTTCTGGATTCTAGATTCTGTTCCATTGATCTGTGTATCTTTCATTGTACCAGTACCAGGCTGTTTTGACCACTGTAGCCATGTAGTAAAATTTGAAATCAGGGTGTGAGAGGCCTCCAACTTTCTTCTTCTTCTTAAGCAGTGCTTTGCTTATCCTGGGTCTTTTAAGGAAGACCTTAGAAGAATTGATGCACTTAAGTTGTGGTGTTGGAGGCGAATACTGAAAGTACCATGTACTGCAACAAAGAACAAACAGATCTGTGTTGGAAGAAGTACAGCCAGAGTGCTTCTTGGAAGCCAGGATGGCCAGACTTCATCTCTTATACTTCGGACATATTATCAGCAGGGACCAGTTCCTGGAGAAGGAGATCATGTTTAGTAAAGTGGATGTCCAGAGTAAAAGAGGAAGCCCCCGCCCCAACCAAATGGATTGACACAGTGGCAGCTGCAGTAGGCTCAGGTGTAACAACCATTGTGAGGTTGGCCAAGAACCGGGCAGGGTTTCGTTCTGTTGTGCAGAGGGTCACTATAAGTTGTTACCTACTAGATGGCCCTTAACACAAACAAGGGGTTTTAGTACTAGGATTTTAGAGTTTGAGGTAATGAATTAGGGTTTGAGGGTTGGGAACTTGGGTTAGGGTTAAGAATGGGTTTATGATTTAGCACTGTTGTTGTTGGTGGTTGTGTGCCTTGGTGTCAGTTACGACTCATAGTGACCCTGCATAGGGTTTCTGAGGCTGTAAATCTTTACAGGATCAGAAAGCCTCATCTTTCTCTCACTGAATGGCTGGTAGTTTTGAACTGCTGACCTTGAGGTTAGTAGCCTGACTTGTAACCAATACTCTACCAGAGCTCCTTATGAGTTAGCATTAGGATTTCAGTTTAAGGGTTAGAGGGTTAGGGCCTATCGTCTTGTTGTTCTTGAGGCTCCCTTTAAAGGGTCTAGGAGAGGATCGTTCATCATTTCTTCCAGCTTCTGGTGTCCCTATGTTGTGGCTTTAATCTGTTCCTCTGTCTTCACATAGCCGCCTTATTTCTTCTCCATCTCCTCTGTGCGTCTCTATAAGGACACTGCTCATTGGCATCAGGGCCCATCTCATCTTCAGGCCTTTAAAATAACTTCATCTTTAAAGATCCTTTGTTCAAATAAGGCATAGAGTATAGGGGTTAGGACATGCACATTTCCTGGGTGAACGCAATTCAGCTCACTGCAGCAGGGTTCTAATGTGGCACTATAGGGTAAGCACTGGACTGCTAATCATAAGGTCGGCAGTTCAAATCCACCAGCCAATCCTCGGAAACCCTATCCAGGGTCGCTATGAGTTGGAACCGACTGGACGGCATTTCAGAACAAAACGGTAGGATGGCTGTTGAGGGAGGGGAGAAGCAGCCCCACTCCTGTGCCTTTAGGACAGAGGGCACCTGGAGAAAAGCATCACTAGCCACCCCGCAGGGCCCTGAGCGAACCTGTGGACGTGGTTTCACCTGTGGGAAGCTTCTCCTGCCGCTGCTCTGGTCAAATAGTAGCGGAAGGCCGCTCCCCAGGAAAGGAAAACTTCCTCCGCCTGCAGCTGCCTCCAGCGCCCTCTACTGACAAAGTGTAACATTATAACAGCTGCCTAAGGAAAAACACTTAATGGTCTGACCTTCTCACCCTTGTTGGCAACAAAGGCTGAATTTAAAAATGAGAGGCATAGGGTTGGAACTGTTACCCTGAGTCCCCCCATTGTGCCCCAGTGATTCCGGGAAGAACCAACCATAGCCTGGGAGTGGGGTGGTCAAGACCTGGGAGGGGCCGGAGAGACTGTCCTGGGAAGGGACAGTGGGAGACTGTGGGATGACCAGGTCTGTGCAGGACCCAGGGTTCTGAGACCAGAAGGAGACGGCAGGTGGAACACAGCCAAGGGAATGGACAGCTCAGGGGTCCTGGGGATGCTGAACCCTGAGGAGATCTGGAGACCTGAGCTCCCTGGGGTCTCAGGAGTGGACAGGAGACCAGGGGGCTCTTTCCTGATAGACTAAACAGGCCCAGAACACACCCTCCAATCATTTAAATCAGACTGTTGTTAAGTGCCGTGGAGCCAATTCTGACTCATAGCGACCCTGTATGAACTGTTTCTGAGGAACAGCTGGTGGATTTGAACCGCCAACCTTGTGGTTCGCAGTCAGCTGTTTAGCCTAAGTACCATACCAGAAGTTTAAAACCCAGACTGTAGATTCACATTTTCAGTGACGGAGCTGCTGTGGAAATTTGGGCTGAGAGTATGAGCTCTCTGTGCCTTCTCCAATGGGGGGATGAGGTCGGTGGCCTGGGCTACAGTTGTGTTTGGAGACAGCATTTATTACAACAAAAGGCCAAAGCACACGCAGGAGGACTGGCTGGGAAAGAAAAATCACAGTCAACAACACACTTTAGGGACCCTACTGGCTTTTCTACCTCATCTCTTGACACGAAAGTGGAAGATCTGTTCAGGTACTCTGCTCTTTCTATACTCTGACAGAGTGTAATGGGGTTACCAGGCTTTCTCTGAAGCACCTCAGAGCTGTGGAGGTGGAGGTACATGGTGGTTGCATTTCCTTCTCCTGTGTCCAATGAGGTGTGACTTCTGACTAAAGCCT